CTAGGTATTGGAATCTCCATAATTTATATTTCTCCATAACTTATTATTGCGAAATATATTTCTTTAATTTTTAGGTTAAACATTGTTGATTCGCAAAGGTCTCTCTAAATTTTAAAACTCTCTAAATTTCGTAACAGAAACACGAAATTACCTTTTAAGACAATTTTTTAAACAGTTCTCTCATAATTTTTATTTAAGTCTCATATAGTTTTTCACTTGTTTACGTTCACTCTGTTTATTATGATATATGATATATATATAAGTATAGTCTAAGCATACAGACACCAAATAAACGCCTATATATGCAATATGTATATAAAAAATAGTACAACATAAATAAACATTAAGATGCACTATATTAAGTAGTAGTTCAATGTTTATTAATATCTCCGTATAATGATATTTATATATATTTATCAGAATAATATTGTCAGATCTAATAAATCTATATTACACTGTAGTAAAAATGATTTAAAATAATTACATAAGATGATTGAAATTTCCTGGTCGGATGCTTGACTAAATAGAGTTTTTTAAGGTAGAAAAAAAAATTAAAAATTAATTAATATTGTAAATCAACTGTATTTTAGGTTAAAAAGTCAGTATCTGTTTATATGTATGCAATAGAAAAAGTTTATGCAAAGATTTACTTTAGCAACCACCATGAGAATAAGGTTTTACATTTTTTAATATGATATCAATATGTATTGTGATATCAATGTGGGATATTTAATATAGCACAAAACATGTATTTAGGAGCAATTTAGATAACTAATTTTTATTTTAATTGCAAAGACTTTTATTGAAAAAGTGAAATAATTAAATTTGAGTTCAGCACATTACATATGTGCTGGGAACTCCGAATACCAATTATATTTGTTTTGATTTTTTTTCGTTAAAATGAAAACACTTACAGAATAACATAGTTATTAAATGTTTTATTTTTCAAAGTTGAGACAGTATAAATATTCGTCAAAGCAAACTACTATTTTATTAAAGTTTCAAAAGCGTTAAAATTCTTTAATATTTTTCAAATATAAGTTAAAGTACTTTATATTTTTAAAAATCTTTTTCAATTTTATTAACTATGCACATAAAAACTATGCACATTTGGTGAGCTTTTTTTATATTCGCCATTCGCGGTTCAACGAATTTCCAATGTTCAATACACAAATATAAATTAAAATTGAAAATTGAATTAAAAAATGAAGTAATATGCACGAGTTGCACAAATGTACATTATGTTCCTAATCGAGTGCAACAATTTACTAATCCATATTTCAAAAAATATCCATTAGTAAATTGTTGACAAAATTCTTGACTCAATTACCAAAGTGCCGCATACTAACATTGCATATTGCTAATTAATTGAATATTGCATATTCTATAATAATTTAAATTTCAAATATTTCGGCATTTTACTAATATTATTCACATAATTTTTTTTATAAATTGAATACCTGAATAAATGATAATTTGGTTTTTTGAATTAAAATTGCAAAATTATCCATTATTATTATTAAAACATATAAACGTATACATTAATTGATAAATATTGGCCATATTAAATAAATGTATATACTCGTATTTTGGATGCGATTCTATACGCTAAATAATCGCTACTCTCACTAAATTGTAAAAGATCATTATCATCTAAAACATATAAATCATAATTGCTTTCTTTTCTATTCATATAAAATTAACAAATTTGACGAAACGTATTTTTTAATACAATAAAAGTTAAAAAGGTATTTCTTACCAAATATTTTCAAAATTCAAAATATATTTTTCATTTCATCGAAATACAGAACAATGAATATACAAAAACAAAAAAACTTCTGAGATTTCTCTGTATATACTGAAAGTATGTAGATATGTATATATGCAGAGTGTATGAATTATGTACTTAGAGATAAACTGTAAATTGAAATTAGGACAAACTTCTTCTATTTTTTGTTTTATGTTTTTGTTTTTTTTTTTTTGTTGACGTTTAAAGAAAGGTTCTATGTTTTTTCATTTTTGTTTACCTATACACAATGTACACCGCATTATACACCTGTAGGCATTTTTAAAACAAACGAAAAAATTAAAATATCGTTTGTATATATATATATATAATACATATTATATATATACATACTTTTTTTTGCATATCCTGCCTTTTTAATTGTACATGAGTAAAAGGTAAATTCTTATGTATATGTGTTTACGCATGTATATATTATACACGCTAATAATTTAGGGTATGATGCAAAATTAAACTGAACGTGTCCTTGCATAAAATTTACTCATTAAAGAATGGAAAAAAAGGCAAAACGAGAATAAATGGTTGATTCTCTGTTTATTTAAGAAAATATTTAAATATTTTTGAAATTTTTAACCAAAGAAATTAGCAAAAATTTTGAGTTTCATGTATTTTTTAGATTTGTTTTTTTTTCCAGAGTCTCCTATATATCCGTAACCTATATATACCACAAAAATGTTCTTTATATTAATTTCTTTAAGAGAATAAATGATATTTAATATAGGTAGTGTATTTTAATAAAAGTTCAAAATTTAAACTTTGTTTTCCTGAAAATTTTCATTTATTATTATATGCATGTTTTAGCATATGTATAAATATGTAAAAAGTCACTTTATAGTTGAATTGTATCATATTAAATTTAAATCTGTGAAAGTTTTGATAAAACAATATTATAAAAAGGAAAAATTTTAAAAAGGATATGATTGTACTAAAATTTGATAAAGATAAATTTTTTTTTTTTGCTTTTTAACATATTTTTGCTTAAAAAATTTCTTGGAGCATGTGCCCTACTTATCTGGGGTTAAATTCTTAAAATAATTATATAAAAAGCATTAATGATTATGTATGTACGTCTTATCTAGATTTTAATACTCGAAGAAGAGCGAGAAAAGGTAACTGAATCATAAATGTATGTATAATTTCACTTAATTTATATTATATGGAAAAAATGAATTAATCCAATAGTTTTTTTGAAAATTATAATAAGAAGGTACATGATATATGTTACAAAATGTTATTGTTCTCTAATATCTTTAAAGAATAAAAGCTAAAAACGATTGCGAAAAAGTGTTTTCCAAAATAATTAAATTTGTTTAGAAAGCAAAAACACGAAACACAAACAAAATTTTTTTAAGTGTTTGTGCGCTCCATGACGGAAGGAAAATCTTACTGGTTCCGAGTTATCAAGACTTTTCTAAAAAATCAAAACCAGTGCGAAGTTGCGATAAAAATTTTTTGAAACAGATAATTAAATGTGGCTTCAAGGATATATAAATATACGTATGTATATGCAATTGTACTTTATACCATTAAATTTCAACGTTATAAACAGAGTGCCAACAATAAAACGAAAATAGTTTGTTTGGGTATAAAAGTTTAATACTTGTTTTCTAGATAATTTTTTAACAGATTTTCAAAATTTTATAGCAAGTAATAATTTTATCTTTTTCAGGTATACGCACATGCACATACGCACATGAATTCAGTTCTTAAAATTAAACGCTCGCAAAATACACAACCAACACCCAAAAATCTCCAAATTTCATTTACTATTAGACGAACCAACACCACTCTTGATTAATTCAAATTATTTACCTTTACTTTGAGATTTTTTAAGTCAAATTTTCTTCATAGAGAGTGTAGTTTATATAATAAAATACAATTTTTAAAAAACTATAACTAGTTTTTATGCAAATATTTTTATAATATTAAAACAAGCTTTACATTAGCTTTTATAGTTTTATCTCATAACAAATTAAAAATAAATTTTTTTTTTACTATTAGTTATCATTATTCTATAACACCGTCGTGATCCAATTCTGTAAATGTGCTTTTGTGGCTAATTAAAATTTTTTGATAAAATAATTAAAAATATTCGTAGTTATCTGGAAAATGGCACCTGATATCAAATCAAATGGGGAAATAAAAAAACGTATAATGCCAAAAATTTTGACAAATTTTTATATTACGATTACAAAAATTATGGATAAACATTTACTTCCGATCATACCACAAAAAGCACATTCACTCTATCATTCTGCTTTAGGTAAGTTTAATTTAACATTGGCATTATTTAAAGAAACCAATTAGAATAGCTCTATACCAATTGTGAATAACATTATACCTATTCATCTTAATTCAATAGCTTATACTCGTAGTAACAGAAAGATGAGTATGGTTTAGATTACGTATACGCTTTATTTTTGAACCATAAATAATAATAATTCATACATAAATAGAAATATGCACATATTATGGCGTATAAATATAATTTAACGTTTTTTATCCAGTTACATATTGTTATGTAAAATATAAGAACTTTTTATAGCTTAAATGAATTAAAACAGATTTTTTTCTGTTCAAACTGTTTAAAACATTTCATTTTAATTCTCTGCCAAAAATTAATAAAATAAATTGACAAATTTTACAAAGTAATGTATGTATACATATAGAACATTATTTTTCTATGTGAATATATATTATAGCGAAGATACAAACCAATTCAGATACGGATATATTTATAACCAGTACAATTTGTACTCATTCACAATATAATTTTAATTGTAAACAAAAAAACATTTACCATATAATTATAAAATTTAATAAACACATTTAATTTAATTATATAATTCCATAAACATGTGTATAAAGATATAAAATAATATTTTTTTTCCCCAAGAACTAAAATTAGGAAATATTTAGTTAAAACAAACTAAATATATTTTTAAATATGACAAATTAATATCATGTTAAGCAAAGGAAAGCATACTTGGTGTCATTAGATGTATTTTTTTTAAGCTATTGTGAATTGTTTTCTCGACAACTCAAAATGTTGTCAAATTGTTAAAGGATGTCAAATTGCTTTTTCTCTCTTTAATCAAATCAGCTGATTTTCTTATCTTGAAATAGAAAAGCTTTTAAAAATGACATTTGAAAAGTTATTTTTTACACTTTATTAAGTTGTATTTGTAGGTAAATTTGTTAATTTTTTACATGATTTTGAGGGAAACGAGGTGAACAGCGCGTCGTGGCAGTGAAATTTATTTTTAAAATTTTTCAATTTCCTCAAAAAACAAATATAAAATTACTTTTAAACTTCTGACAAGGGCAAATGCAATTGGCAGCATATTTTGGCATTTTGTTGATTTTTGTTAATCAGTTTCGTCTGTGATTTTCTGCGATAACAAGTTAAAAAAATTTATTCAAAAGATAGCAAGATTTTGTTTTGAATTAAGACAATGACATCTACGCCCCCAACACAACCCCCATCAACGTCAAACGGTCCTGCAGCTACTGCAGCTAATAGTACCATAAAATCAGCACAAAAATCTTTAGGTTTACCATCAAAAATTTATCAGGGTCTTATTTCTAGCGCCGATAAATTTGTTCCTGACAAATTAAGGCCATTATGGAATCATCCAGCAGGTTACCAATTCTTGCAAAATGAAATAAAAATATTTGTGTAGTGTAATATTTAACTATTTAATATTTTTAGGTCCAAAAACTGTGTTCTTCTGGGCTCCTGCATTTAAATGGGTAAGAAGAAAAGTATATTTACTATTAAATCTATACTAATATACCGACACATTATTACATAATCAGTGAATGAAAATTTTATACCAAAGATCAAATATTTATGTGTGAGCGCTTTGATATTTTAATTAAAATATGCATACCTACGTATATGTTTTATATTTCAAGGTTGAAATTATTTATAATTTCTCTTAACATTCTTTTTTGAATCATGTATATACTTTTTTACGTAATTGTATACCTACTTAATAAACGGCAGAGATATTTTTTTCTAGTGATAATTTTTATAAACATTTTGCGCTGTGTAAAAAAACGTGTGTTATATGTATTATATATAATGTATACATATATGCATGTAATAAAAACGTATCTATGTAAATTGGTATTGGATAAAAAGTTCATTTTAATGTGATTGCATGCACAGGAATAGTGAAAACACATTTATTTCACATTTTAATTCCGAAACAAGCGAATGAACTAACTTTTAAAAAATCTTAATAACATTAAATTGCTTGAAAATTAAGATTTTCATTTCATTGAAATTTTAAAAAATTAAAATACTTATAATTTACTGTGCTTATAAGTGCTGTACACTATTTTTCGAAAAAGCTAATACATGCTAAAAAATCTTAAAAAAAAATTTAAATTCCAATTAAATGAATTTTAGGGTCTAGTCATTGCTGGGTTAGGGGATTTAGCTCGGCCTGTAGAAACTTTGTCTATAGCTCAATGTGGATCATTAGCTGCAACAGGTAAGCCTTTTCTTTTTAAATCAGCATTGTAAAATACATACCTATTGCATTAAATTTCATCTCTTATCATAAATTCGCTATCATTACTCTTATCATAAACTAATGCATATTTGCAGAAACTATGAGCCAATTCATTTTAGAGACGCTGAAATTTCATTTGTGACAATCGACAAATGCAATATTTTTTATTTTTTTAGGGATAATCTGGTCACGTTATTCACTAGTTATCATTCCAAAGAACTGGAGTTTATTTTCTGTTAATGTTTTTGTAGCCGCAACACAATTAATTCAATTAGGTCGTGCGTATAACCATCATTTGCAAACAAAATCCTTAGAAACTAAAAAACAAGAAGAAAATCCAAGCAAATAAAATTTTAAAATTTATATGAAATCGAAATGCGAAGGAACAATATTTGCCAAAAAAAGTGAAAACTCACAAAATATTCGTTCACCCTGATACAAAAAGGACAGTTTTATGTAAAAAGTAATGAAAAAAAGTAATTTATTAGTTTAAATATCAGTAAACATTAATTCTTTCAAAAAGGATTTTATAATACAAAGCCAGAGGCTTACAACCCATATTTATGTCGATATATACTATTAATATTAAATATTCGAAAATTTAGTTATTTTAGTAATTTAATGATAAAGTAAAAATTTATAAGCACTATTTCAAATAAGTAAAAAAAATAATTTTTAAATTAAATAAAAAAACCATCAGCACCATTTTAAAAAAAAATTTTGTTCAGGATACTTTTAACTTTTATAAGTACATACTTATATTTAATATAAAATATTTATTTAAATATATTAATAGAAGTCACAAAAATATTAAAAAATTGAAATTTAAAATAATATTAATATAAGAGTGGCAAAGAAATTTCGATTCAACTAAAGTTGTTATATGAGTAATTAATTGATTATTTCACATAATAATGTTCATTGTATCAAAACCATTAAACAAAATGATTGGGATTTTAATTAAATAAAATTTAAAATACAAAATTAAATCATATGCTTCGAATTCGATAACTTTTTAAACAGTACATAAAAAAAATTAAAATTTTTACCTAGGTGAATCTATAGAAAATTTAAAAGTATAGTGTACATATTATATTGATTATATAAATTTTGTTTTATTAATGTATTACAGAAATGCTACTTTCGTACCTATGATTTTATTTCAATTAATACTAAAATGATTCTTAATATTTTAAAGAAACATACATATTATGTAAAAAAATCGATTATATTTTATTATAAGATTAAAAACTGATTATAAATTGAAATTCTTTCTATTTTTCGAATTTATGTAATTTTACCGTAGGGGTTATAGTTATTCGATTTGATAAAAAATTTATTTTAAGTAAATAAAAATGGGATTTTTTAAAGAAGTGAATTGTTTTATTTTCAAAAACCATATTTGGAATGTACTTGTTATTCCTTATATTATGAACAGATATTAAGTGTTAGTAAAAAACAAGAAACACATCATTCTCTGTTCGTTTTGTTAAACTTCAAATAGAAATATTTAAAAAAAAGTCAAATATCTCATTCGATTTCAAAGAACTGAAAACTAAACCAGTAAAAACAGCACTGCATATCCTGCAGTGTATATTTTTTAGGAAATATGATTTTTCTTCGCCGTTTTCTATGCACCGTTTACAAAACTATTACTTATGATTTTGAAAGCTACAGAGTCTTGATCATGAAAACAAAATCATTTCATATTATTTCATAGTATAGTTTAAAATCATTATATTAAATGAAAAAACCTATTCTTATATCTTTAGTTGCTGGAATAAAAGGACATCCTAGGCCAATTACTTGAAAAAATACACATTATTTTCGATAGATGGTTATCATTTTGTATTTCGTTTTTTTCATTATGCTTTGCTGTAACATTGAAAGAGTAAACTGTTTTACTTATAAATTATAATAAATTATATAATTACTCTCATCTGTTCTTTTTCTTTGTTTTAAACAAAGTTACATACAATATTTGTTACTTTACTTTGAATATTAATGTTTTAAAGGTTAAGAAAAAAGCAATTCTTATTGTTGATCAATATTTAATTGGAAAATATTTTGTTTTCAATAAAATAAATACAATTATAGACAAATATAGAATGCTATATTTGAAAAAAAGACAAACTGATTCGTTTCAAATATTACAATAATTTAAAGTTAATTCTTTATAACATGTAGATGCACACATATTTAATTTTCTTTTCAATCTTTTCATGTTAATTAAAATTTACATTGTATATCCATTTGGATTATAGTTAAGTTCCAATAAATAAAAGATTTATTATAATAGTAAATCTGATAAATATTCAAGCTTACCCAAAATTTTAAGTCATGAAAGAATTAATGAAAGAAAAAAAATTTTGAAATAGAAAAAACTTAAATCAATTTTCCTCTCCGTTACAATGATCATACAACAAGAATAATAATTTATTGATTTTTTTAAAATCATTTCATTTAATAACATAATGCTGTATTTTGCTAAATACCAAATAATATTTTATATAAACTTTAAGCTAACACTAACTTTTTTTTTTGTTTTTTTTTTTTTAATTTTGTTGCTTTTAACAAATTTACAATAAAATATGAAATATTTAAGTATATTGTTTCGTAAAATAACAGAACATTAAAAAATTTTGCATTTAATAAAAAAAATGTGAATGTTTTCAAGAGAAGACTTAAAATGAATTATTTTTCTTTCAAATATAAATGGCTTAAATGTACTTAAATATTTTAATAAAGGTATCGAAAAACGTGGTTTTTCCAACAAACTTGTATAAAACTGTATGTATATTTTGAAGATTAATCTTTTGTTTTTACTTTAATATCATATTTTATAGCTTAAATATAATTATTTTATACATTATATGTATAAAAAAAAGCATCAATGTTTTGTGACGCACCGAATTCCGATATACTAACCGGTATAAATTTTAATTACACCTATAACGTTGTATAAACAATTACATCTACTTTAAACTCCAAACTGCAATTTATTTGATAAAAAATCCTTTTTTGATGTGATATTAAATCGATTCCACTTATTCACTTTTCATGCAAATAAAATGTAAATTTTCTTTTTTAATAAATTTTTGTTAATATCTTTTTGTTTCTATTTAGCAAGCAAAAAACTATTTAAGTAGATTTAAATATTCGGCATTAGATTACAATTTATTTTTTTTAAAATTCAATTATTTTTAAATGTGAACTTTCAGTATCAGTTTTCTAATATATTACAATATGAAATTCAAGTATCATTGGATGGAATACTTTACAAAAATTTTTCCCCAAGTACTTTTAAAATACAATTGATTTAATTCATAAAATTCATTAAAAATTTTTATTATCATAAAAAGAAATTAATCCTCAAAATTTAAATTTTCATTTTTCAAGAAAAACTATATCTATTAAAAATTTTTTAATAAGGAGTTCACTTTTTTTATTGGAAGATTTTTTTTTAATTACTAGTTTTGGAAAACAAATGCATAAACAAGATATAAAATTTAATTTTTTAAATAATTTTTATTTTGAACTACATATGTATATCTAAAAATGCTAAAAAACTTTGGTTTTTATGCAAAATAGAAAAACAAAATGCAAAAAAATTAAGTACAATATAAAAAAGAAAAAACACAAAATGCAAAAATTAAATATTTTTGTTTTTAAAAAAAGTCAAGACTTGAAACAATGCGAAAATGAAATATTTACTTAAAATATTAAAATTTTTTCTAAGCATAGCTATTTTGATCTGCTGGAAGTGTTAAGTCTGATAAATAAATAAATACGTATATTAGATAATTTTTTGTAATATTAATAGACAAAAGCTATTTTATAAAAGGTTAAATTTTAAAAATGTATTTCGATAAATATACTAAGTTTATCAATGTGTAATTTAATTGCAAGAATTTTTTGATTAATAACATAATTAATTAAAAACAAATTCACAAAATAAACATTTATTATTTTGTATTATTATTTTGTTATAAGTTCTTATTAAGAATAATCATAATTCAAAAAGTTTTAAAATTTTTTTTATTAAAAAATTTTATATTTCTTTCTGAAAAAAAAAAACAGAACTTAAAAATAATGCAGCGTAAATTCTTAAACATTCTTAATAAGAAAATTTTTAATTTTAAATTCTTAAATTTAGTTTTTGAAATTACTATAAAAAAAATACTTTTTTTTTAATTTTTTTTGGTAAATTTTAATCTGAAAAATTAGTAAATTGTATACAATATTAAAAAACAAATTATAATTTTTTTGGTGCTTATTTTGAGTTATTTTTTGTATGTTATATTTTTTTTTTTCAAAATTTTGTCTTGTTAAACTTTAAGTCGTACGTGGACTATAATTAATTTACCATAGCCCAGATGAATAACCGCCTGGTGGTTGTCGAACACGTCCACCACTTTGTGATGGAGATGATGGTGCAGCCGGTGGGGCAACTGGGGTAGACGGTTTCTCTATTGCTAATGTAGATGGTTTTTCTATAATTGGTGTTGACTTTTTCTCAACTGCAACACCATTTCCATTTTGGATAGAACCATTTGTAGTAGGAGGTGACGGAGCTGGAACTGAACGTTCAGTCGATGGGGCTTTTTGGGCAGCAACATTATTATTCGTTATAACTGCTGGTCTTGATTCTACCGGTGATGGTGCATCTGGCGTAATTTTTGCTACGGCTTCGTTTGGATCAACCGTATTCATACAGCTATTTAAATTTGATGAATTTTGTTGATTGTATTTTGGTCTTGGTTTAGGTACTTCCATTTCTGGCGGAGCAAATATATTCGAATGACCACCGCCTGGAGGTTTTAATACACGCGATGATGTACGTCCATCACTTATACCCAAAGTGTATTCACTTGAAGCCATTGCAGACATTGAAAAAGATTGATTTATGTTCGTCTTCTTCGAAAAAAATTTTTAGTAATTTTTTAAAAAACTTGTTGCGAAGTATGAAATGATTTGAATTTAAAATATTTTTGACAAAAACAAAAAATATTTTTTTTTTCTCTAAAATTATAAATTTTTATTTTGGTTTTGATCCTGAAAATGAAAAAGAAAAAAATAAATAAATAAAATGAAAGTAAATTAAATAGTAAAAAAAGCAACAAAACAAATTATAGTTTTAAACAATAAGAATAATACGATAGCAAAATATTTTTAATCGATATTGTGAATGTGTTTTTGCATTCTTGAGAAAACAATAGAAAATTTTTTTTAAAGTGAAGATATTGGCTTCCACAATTTAAATATTGGCAAATAAACGTAGTATGTTGTGCGCAAAACTTTAAACTATGAATATAAAATAAAATATGAATATAAAATAATGTGATTATTATAAAGAATAAGATTAATATAAAGAAATTTATCTTTTAAGTATGAATATTATAAACAAGCAAATCTTTTTATTTAAAACATTAAATAAGTATTAAAACTTGACCACATTATGAGTTTTAAAGTTTCAGTTGTTGAAGTTAGTGTTAGCTGCTAATTCGTATAATAATTAATTTGATTACATATTGTTTAAAATTAATTAGTTTTTAAAAAAATTAACTATTTTTGTTTAAAATTCTTAAAACAAATCCAGTTCAAAATTAAATAATTTTTCTAAAGTCTAGTGTATCTAGTTGTATGGAGTATATTTATTATCAGCACAAAGCACATTGCGGAAAGCCTAATGCTTATATGTACACACATCAAAAAACACTTACTTTTATTATTTTGACAACTAAATAAATATTAGCAATCTAATTTTCTCTAAACAAAAATTAAGTAAAATGTAATGTTTCTGCAAATATCACTTTAACACTGAATTGTACTGTTAAAAAATTTTCCTTTTATACTTTTCAGTCGTATGTGTTATTATTTCAAGATTGTTTAGTTGCAGGTAATGTGCATAGTCCCTGCAAATAGTTACTAGAGTGACTACCTAACTAAGCTGATACGATTTTTTTTTATTGATAAAACGGAAAATTTCCACTAAAAGCAACATTTGGCATTTTAGTTGAACCGTATAAATAAATATCTACTGTACCTGATACTACCATAAAAATTTAAAATTTAACATATGATTTAATTCAACATGTTTATTGTTCAATATGTTCATGTCTTTTATCCCGTTAATTCTTAACACTTTTGGATTTTGGAACATTTTAACTTTTAAATTTAATAATATGTAATATAAATTTAAAGGATGTTCAATAATTCTAAATATGTATATTAAGCAGAAAGTAATTTAAGACAGAATTTAATATTATTTATACATAAATCAGAAGTAAATTTAATAATGCTGAAATGATGTCAAAATAAAAATACATGCCGAAACTGGAGAAACGGGTTACGATAAGCTAATAAAATATATAAGAGGAATTTGTTGACCGTTTGGCAGGTATTTAAACAAAAAATCTGTAAATCTTTAAATATAATGTAATATAAACATTTGCACGAAAGAAATGATCCAGAAACGTCTAATTGTGTTATCTTCGCGGTCAATTATCATAAATAATTAAAAAGATGAAATAAATCACTCTCTAAACACATTTTTAATCAAGATTTTTTAAAATAGTAATAATAATTTAGAAGGGAACTTTCTTCAACCTGGATTTAACAATAATAAAATTCTTAACTAATTACAAAAATTTTACAAAAAATTTTTATGAAATGCATGTTATTTCAATTTAATATTGATAAAATATAAATTGTATATTTAAAAACGTATGTACTTACGATTGCATCTTGATGCAAAACAGACTCGCATATTATGTTATATTCTAAACAAATATAATGTTTAGGAAAATATCAATAATAACGACAATAACGGCAAACTATATAGAAAAGTTTTCAATTTGAAAAAAATATTTAAGATTACCATATTCTTCTTTTGTTTATGTGTGATTCAACCGGCAGAGACGATTTTAAGTTACCAAAATAAAAATTTAGTTACTGTCGGATTCAATCATTCTTTCCATATAAAGTCATTAATTTATAGTTTTCTTTCGCTTTGTTTTTATTTTTTATAAAACACAAATTAAAAAAAAAATAAGAACTTGTAAAAATGAGATTTAACGTCGTATATCATACTAAAGAAATATTAAATTCTGGTATTGTTTGTTAAAGAGTGACATCACCATAATCATGTACTATAATATTTTCACTTAAATTCTTAAAGAATAGAAATAAAAGTAAAATTAAATGAAAAATATCGCAAAAATATTTATTTGGAATAAATATTTGAAACAATATTCTAAATAATTTCTTATTTAAAAAAATAGAATAAAATTTATTCTATTTTTTTTATAAATTTCCATTTTGCGTTTGAGCTTACTTCAACTATTCCTAGATCGACCGACTAAAATTTCAAATAGCTTTTGCTAATACGAAAATGAAACTATGCTGTTTTTATTGCAATTCTCAATAAATTCAATATATTTCTGAAATTTCGGCATTCTTCCCAAGTATTTAAATAAATTAAAATTCAACTTTTCTTTCCGAATATAGCAATAGTTGTAATATAGTCAAATTTAAATAATTTTTTTCTCATTAATTAATGAATTAACCTTAATAAAACAATGAATTATTGACGAACGACCTTGAAATTCAAACTTAGAGTTTTCAACTTGGGAGAAAAATATAATTAAGAAAACAAAAACAATAAAAAAAATTATCTACTTGTATATTTTTTGAAAATCTATAAAATATTAATCAAAAATTTGAAGATATTTTTTCATCTTCATTTATACATACATACATATATTGCTTTTCGTTAAAGTTCTTGACATTGTAGATCCCGTATAGCAGTTTTTTAAGTACAAGTATATACATATGTACATATATTAAAAAAAAAACAAAAATACGTTTTTTTTCTTTTCATTTGTTAATTTAGAATTTACGTGATTTTAAAATTTATGACGACAAAAAAATGATCAACAATACAATGACTCTTTTTTTACAACCAGGTAACAATGACTTCATTTTCTTAAAATTGAATATACATTCAAACATACATTCAAACTGAGAAATTCATAATAAATAATAGTGTGATTTTCTCTATATTTCATCTAAACTTTATTATACATTAACGTATGTATGTGCGAAATGAAATGATGTAAACTCGTTTTTTTTCTTTTTATTTTTTTAAAGAAGCCAATATTTTTTACTTACATAATTTTTCTATTTTTAGATAAATCAAAAGTTGATTTAAATGATTCGATCCAGGCTATAAAAATTATAGGATATTAAATGTAAATATATGTGTGTATGTTTGTATATTTCAATATTATTATTTATTAATATTTCCAAATAACAAATAACAGGAAAAAACGAAAGTTCTAGCAGTAATGAAATAAAATTAATTAATATATGAAATATGAATTTGAAAAATATATGTACATATATGTACAACTAACTCTTTGGTCATAAAATATTAGAGATTCTCATAAATACAATACTGTAAAACAATAACTGTTAAAAGCAATACTGTAAAAACATAATAGGCCTTTTCATAAACACAGTAAATTGCGATATACATAATTATAACCTTTTTTTCTTTGCAATTTCATAAAATATCATTCTTCATGGTTAACAAAAATTGAAATTTTATATTTTAACAACAAATAAATAAAAAAAAAAGAAAAACCAAAGTCATAATAATTTGAAAACCTTTTCATTATAAATTAAAATTTTTAAAAGAAATGTTATTAATTAAAGGAAAAAAAAACAATTTACTCTCTAAATAAAAGTCATTTAAAAATTCAACTTTTTAAAGTCAACTTTATTTCAAAGGTCTTATCAAGTTTTCCTTATAATTATTAAAAATAATATATTTAATTTACGCGAAACAGAAAAATCAAGTAAATATTTTAGTGAAAGTAATATTGTCTAAAAACAAAAAAAAATGTTCATGAATTTCATATATTATAGGATTAATTAGAAAGACAGTCATTAAAGTATCATTTTATGCAATGAAAATAAATTATTATGGTGAAAGAGTTCAACTACTCTATCAACTAACTATAGTGGTAATAATATTTTAAATGGTATTGGTAACCATAAAGATTTTCATAAATTAAGTGTGCACAGATTTATTGAATATTTAAATAGGAAAAAAAGGGTATAAAAAATTTTATAAAATTCATTAACATACATAAAAAAAATATTTAAAATACATAACGAACAATTAGAAATTTTATTTTAGCATTATTCAGGCTTACTGCATGAATTTGTCGCAATTTATTCACTTTTTGTTTCAGGTTATTCGTTCGTCTTACATGGAAACATTTAGTTTTTACATGAGAAATTATTTAGCTACGTAATGCTCTAGTTTTGTCTATATTTCCCGTTTCTATGATATATAAAAGTATTATACCAAATGCCAAATGAGTTAATTTAATTTATAAATAAGTAGTTTTAAAATTTATTTCAATTAAATTAACAGTGTTCGTTAAGGAGCTTATTTAAAATTTACTTACTTAAAAATTCTGTCACATATCTATAATTTTTGATTATAGAAAACATTATACAGAAGTTGAATACATATACATACATATGTGAATTTCTGAATAAAGCGGATTTAGAATATAATTCTACATTTCTACAGTGAGATTAGAAATTTCAGATAATTGAGATAAAAAATTTATTTTCCTCTTATATAATTGATTTTTTAAATTATTATTGATCCAATTAGGAATACTTCTTTAGTTTTTTTTTGTAAAATTAATGCAGCCAAAATCAGAAATTACAATCACATTAATGCTATTTAGGCTTACAAACTAATTTCTAACATGCTTGTATATTTATTTTTATGTGGATTTGGTTTTTTTTTCAAGTAAATTGTTGGATTTTTGAAATATTCTTTTTTTTTTTTAATTATCTGTTGTGGAAAGTTTTTAATCAAATTTTTATAAGTTTATATTATACTTAGAACAGCAATTTCAAATGAATGTTGTTTTTTTTCATAAAACAACATAAAAATAAATTTTCATTAAAATTTTGATACTATTTTAATAATACCGAATCCTATATTAAAACGATTAAAACATCAATTG